ATGTTGAAGTATATTTTATGTGATCCTGGAGACAGTGAATATAACTATCATCAAATATTAATTAAATGCTCGCATCGAAGTCGGATACTCCTCTCGAAGATGCAATGCATTTCTTTCCATTCGATGACTAACACGCACTACACATTTCTCCGACAACTAGAATTCGACGAACTTAATAAACTATCTAACAATGTTTTCATATTACTCTCTTGATTCAAACCCAGTTGACTAACTCTAATAGTATTAGGATACAGATATGCAAGGTAAGCTTTTTTGTCATTATGTACTCTGATTGACAAATTTTCTAATTCATTTCCTATACATGTCTATTATAGAGAATAAGACATCAAGTGTTAACTTCTCTTTCTGTCAATAAGTCGAAGTTTACCATGGAGTTAGTTAGAATGAGCGTATATTATTCTGTGTTTCGAACAGTTTTGTCTTGATACGTTTTGATTATAATAGTATGAAAAGTCTTTCTTGAATAGTCTGCAACAAAAAATGATATTGTTTGTTTTTATTTCATACACAAAATAAATTATATTTATGGTAGGACATCATTGCTATGTTTCTATTCATACCAAACAAAGAAAACATATCCGATATTCAACTTCATTCTCGAGCTTTTCATAACATATTTTGTATTTATTTATAGTGATTATACAAATTTGCCAATATCATCGACTGATGAAGAATCAAATTCTAAAAAATCTATCAGCAAAAGTTTCATATCAATTATCTTGATATTTTCAATTATATTTGTTCTTATACTCGTTGGATTTATATATATATTACACAATCGTTATGTAAAACGAAAGAATAATAGACATCGTACAAAAAGACTTAATAATGAACCTATTTATTCTCAATTGCTTGCTAGCAGTGAATCTAATTTATAGTAGGAATACTATTTTTATTTTTTATTCATTATATTCCTATTGTACCCCTAATCTTCATTTTAAATGAAAATTTTTTCATTGATTTCTTCTCTTTGAATTTGTGAACACATGACATAGATGATTCGATTATTTTCACTTGTCATGTCATTTTGTCCAACGACTATGTGTGTAGATCTTGTCTTTACATATCCTCTCCCTCTACACACCCTAATTGCTTTTAGTAAAAGAATAAAATTTTTAATGATTCAGAAATATTAATGATAAATACTCACACTGGGTACGGTTTAAAATTTTCGAAATAAAATAAAACAAGGGTGGATGTGGGTATGTGTGTGTGCGTGGGCAGGGTGTGAGCGAGGACGAGTGTGGACATTGATCATATGTTCGCTCACACCCACACCCACACCCACCCACACCCCACACCCCACACCCTACTTATACTATAGAATCCTGGACTATAGAATTATTAAGATGTATTACTTCTCTAACAATTTATCAATCAATTAAGATATAACGATCAAGTGATCAAACAATTCTTTTAGATATAATTTTATTTCGTTTATTAATTATAACACAAAATGGAGATTTTCTTTGGTTTTTACGTTCAAAAATTTTACTAACAAATATACATTATTAACTATTGTTAAAATCTTACTTTGTGATAAAATGCGTTTAGGTGTATATATACAATAATTGGTGAAATTTTATGTGATGAAAATTTAAAACAATTAAAAATATTTGATAGTAATAAGTATCAATATTTATTTTTATTAAAATGAAAATTATAAATAATCGATGATTAAATTTTATGAGTGAACATTTTTTTGTGTACTTAAAAAGTGAGTACCCTCTAGCATCGGTCAGTGTGTCTGACCGGTCGGCCGACCGTTTACACGATAACTTTTGAAAGGAGAGTCTGATCGCGATGAAATTTTCTACACAGTTTAGTCTCAACAATATCTCAGTCAAGTTCGAAGATGAGAATGATTGGCCGAACCATTGCCGAGTTATTCGAAAAATAGTCATTATTCCCTATGCTTTCCTACGTGAAGATCGACCTGTCTCCGTTTTCGTAAAAAACTTTTCCTCTCATAGTGAAATAAAGCATAAAGAAACAAGGAGGTTAGCTCACCTATTGCAAAGATAATTAAACGGAAAATGGTTGTTTTTATCCATGCTCTAATTGATCCACAATTAGAGTTCTATCTTCCGTTTACAGAGATGATACTCCGAGGTTTTCTGGAGCGGAGAACTCGAATCTGTACTCTACTTGCCTCGAAATACCATTGGTTGAGCAATGACCAATAGAAATCAAGTTATAGGAAAATGGCGGCAATAAAATAACGGAACAACAATGTAACGATGAATTGAAAAGAGAATCGATAGTTCTATATTAACGAATCTTGTTATTTATTTGGATAATTCAGATAAAATTTTGCGATCATAATATTCTTATATACATCATTTCACATCGATATGTAAGAAGTTAAATTAAATAGATTAATAATGAATAAATTAATCAACAATAAGTGCGATGACTGATGAATTTGTATGTAATATTGGCCCGTTAAGCCGAATATCATATGATGAGCTAGAATATATAAATAAAAATACTATACTTGTTCATCATCTTCGATTATTCAATAAATAATATATTCTATTGCAAATTATTATGTTCGTACAATCATCTAATGATTATCTCAGTTTGGTGAATACCACTGATATCTTATTCTAAGTAATGTCGATGGATATTGAGTACAATGACAAGCTAAAATAGAAATAAGTTTTCTTATTGAATGAAGACAATTAATTTTTCCATGAAAAATAAATTGAATAAAAGCAAAGTAAAGCAAAGCAACGGTAGTAATCTTGATTGCTTAATTTTATGCTTGACAAAAGCAAGAGAAAACATACAACATTGAAAATTGACATTATTTTTAATGAGTTTAATAAGAAGCGTTGTTCATATCATAGATGATTCATTCAAGTTGTAGACGACGGATGTACGCGTTGCAACAAACATGAACAACGCTTGACCACGACTCGGTAAAGACACAATAAATGCCATACAAAAAAATGTAGACCTGCAGTTAATCCACCATACAATCCAAGCAGTGTTGTGAATATGTAAACAAAACCATTTTGTTCAATATAATGATATTGACATATTGATGGAGCACATATTTGAAAATATGAAGAATAATTCGCTGATAAATCGATTGATACTATGGAATTCCCATCTAGAATCGATCCAATTGGAGTTGTTGGTGGGAACTGCTTTGCACTAAGATTAAATGGACCAAAAACGGTGCCAAGCAGTCTGTTTAGTTGATTGACGCAAACATCATCATAGAAGCATTCAAATGTTGACTGTGAAATACCATCTATGATTGAGCATCCAACAACAATGCCTAAACAAATGACATATCAATAATATGCAATTAGTTCTTCAACTATCATCTTTTAATCATAGATCTTTTTGAAAATCTTAATAAGTCAAACTACAATTATGAAAGCATATGAGAAAGCTTGATTAAAGAGTTTACCTGGAAGTACATTTGGATCACCGATCGAATCATAATATATAGGCATCTTTGTACAGTTGGATTTCCCACTTGGACAAAAGCAAGTAGCATTGTTCAACGAAACTGGACTGTTACGAAGAATATATTTTTCATCTAAGCTCGAAAATTCTATTTTCCAGCTTGTCATATATCGAGTATGAAATTGATTTGCTTGAAGCATATCAGAAACGAATTTAAAAGTATCAAATGATGAAGCCAACGAACTATTAAATATTCCCGTTGTAAAAGCATTAAACTGTATGTGAAATGTTTGTAAGGTCATTGCTTCGACTGATATCAAACTTGCGTCAGTAAAGATTTGTCTCAAGAACTCTAAACTATTCATTCTGACCACACATTGGAAATAGAGGATAAGAAATTGTCTTTTGATGAGATTCCAACTAAGTATTTCCGGGAATATGTCTTCTTGTGGTAACCGTGACATCAGGAGCTCTTGTTGGTATATCGCCCTCTCGAAGAACTCATGATATGTGTATGAGTACGTTGAAACACTTAAATAAGAAATAGCTATATTTGTACAAGGACAAGATAAACTATCAGAATATTGACTGTGAAGATATGAAAAGTAAGTTTCGTTTGGTGAATCTACGCTTATGAATACTGTTCGATGCTGAAATCGCACGAAAACTGAGACAATCACAAAAGATAGAACAAGTAGAACAATATAGATTCTTGTTGCTAAATGTTGATGTTCCACTTGTGTTTTTCCTCGGTACACATTCATGAGATAAAGTTTATCTCGACTATAGATAAAAATCATTCTCCAACGTAAAGGAACATCTGAAATAATTCAACATAATTAAATAATGAATGAAAAAAATCTCTCACCTCGTGTTTGCTGATAGCAGAAACGATAAAACAAATGGATAATTTTGATGAATGATGGAACTAAGATACGAAGTAGAATAGTTAGTCCACCAATCAGACCAATAACTAAGTTAATACGAGCAATAGCATGTAATTTCTGATCTATTGTATAAGTACATATTTCTGGCTGACATTCGGCATAGTACAATGTATAATTTGCTGTATAAATCAATTGATTAACAAGAGAACTACGTATTAAATATTCTAATGACTCTTGAGGAGTAAAATTGATTAAAGTATTTGGATCAAGCGCTGTTATATTACTCAAATCTATTGGTAAATAGATATTTTTATTACCACAAAGACGCTGATCAATTAGCATCTGAACACAAGATTCATCGTAAAAACATTCTAATGTGGAGTAAGTAAAATATAGAAGATGACAGCCAAGTTGTAGGCCAGAAACAATTAGAGGTCGCAGATTCCTTTGAAAACAAATCTCTGTATCGCTATAGATTAACAATTGTCTTAGACAAAGAAAGATTTGTCTAAGACAATCGCATGGCACCTGATCAGTGTAATTGTCGTAAATTAACGCATACTCTAGAGTCCATGTGCCATTAATCTGGCTGGAGACCACAGAAGGTTCAAGAAAATCGAGTGAAATTGATCCACTGAGTAGAATACCTTCTACCATTGAATAAAGTTTAGACAAATATATAGAGTAAATCTAGATAAAAAAAAAATATAATGATATATTTTGTATTCAGTAATACAAGAATAAAGTTGTTTTGCTTTTTCAGCTTAATCTATTTATGTTTTTCCTTTTATCTGTAGAAGATCAATATTATCATAGATATTCTTCGTAAGGTAAGAAAGAGTTTCGTACAGTTCGACAAAAATAATTCCAATTTAGATGCTCAAAAGTATAAGAAAAGATTTTTTTAAGGTCTCTTTCTTCATCGTATTATACCTCAGATTGAAAAGAAGCGCTCCAATCTTGAATTGTTTCACTTAATTGTAGTGGAGTGATAAGTTGAGGAGAGAAAAAATGTTTTGCTTGAAACGAATTTACTATGTTAGCGAGATTTATATTGAATGTGTCGCATAATATTTTAACAAAATTGAAAAATTTCCATCCATTCTTACGAAAATCATTGTAATAAAATGATGGAGTAGGATCGATGCTACCATTGAGAAATTTCATTGTCCAATATTGGAACCAACGATCATCACGAACAAAATTACTTGTACAAAATGGATGAATTTTTACTTCAATGGATATGAATTTCGAACGTGGTATTGATGAATTACGACATGGACATGATAGAATCGATGAATACGTGTCGTGAAGATGTTCAAATTGATCGATACTTGGATATCTGGCAATGATTTGTTGTGAACTAACTATTGATGTAGAGTAAACGGTCAAAATGTAAATACCCAACATCAACAATATGATATAGACCCGTGTAGAATAAACACCATGTTGAACATTGGTTAAAGTTTTCTTGAATAAATTCAATGTAATAATTTTGTGACGAATTTGTTTAAGGGAATTCCATATACGATCTTGCAAATCTATGAAAACAAAAAGTACAAAAAGAAGAAAAAAAAAATATCAACGTAAAGAGTGACTTTACTTCTTTTTGGTTCATATCTTTCTTCAGTTTCTTGCACTGAAACCCATCGGCGACATAAATATAAAATGAATTTGACAAACAATGGAGATGCTATATGTAATGCCACGCGAATTCCACCAAAGATACTAACTATGGTTGTAATTATGTAAATGAGAAAAAACCGTTCTACATATGAATATGAACAGATTTTAGGTGCACAAATTTGAAAATAAGTAGAAAAATCAATAGAGTCCTCCCAAGACTCAATCATTAGATTATCAAAAAGAACAGCAATTGTAGTTGTTGGACTAAATCGTGAATTAGAGTTTGAAATATTTAGAGGTGAGACAGTACGAAGAGCACCAGTCAACGAAATCACAATATCTAAACATGTTTGGTTGTAAAAGCATTCCAATGTTGATTGAAACAACGCATTTTGTGGTACACATCCAACTTGAAATCCTGGTATCATGAATAGAGGTGATGCATCAAGTGAAAAGACTTCATTTGGAGTGATAGATCGTGATTGATTATAAATACCAGCAGGATAAATACAATTATTTGTACGATCACATTGACATGTTTCATTTAATATCGATGACGATTGAGTTGAATCGACTTGTTGAGGATAAATGACAGGAAAAGTTACAAAATTATTGCTACCAAGATCACCTCTCGTATAGAAATTTGTTCTTAATGCAGATATAAAACGATGTTCTGTAAGAAGAGATACTATAAAATGAATCTGTGCACGGAAATTGTCAAGTGTTATTTTCTGGAATTGTTCAATAGACGTGCCTATATATGTGCTGACTACATCACGTGATAATGCACTTGGCGATAATATTGTCATTGTAGCATATTCTTTGAGAGCATCGATTACAGCTTGACGTGATATTCGACAGAGAATAGATAAAATTTGAAATTGTGCAGAAGCCATCAAACGAAAGTCAAGAGGATAATAATTGCTTGTGTTGACATTGAATAATGAGGAAAACCATTCTTCACCGACAAAATCACTTGAGCAAACTTGATGAAATCGAGCATTCAATAACACAATTTTTGAATAAGGAATCGATGTTTGAGAACAGCGGCACGCAACTGTAGTTGGATAACTATTGATTAAATTTTCGAAATTATTGATAGATGGTGAAGAAACAGTGATTAAACGTGTTTGAGGAATAATACCAGTAAATAATAGTATAAATAAGAGAGCAATCGAAAGTGAAATAATCAGAACACGTGTAGATAAGAGTTGCTCATTCAGAGTCAACGTATCATCATCATCGTATAGGTTCAGATTCCTGATGAAATATATAAATTGATTCTTGTATCGGATATGAGTACTAACTTTGGTAGTCATTGATCTAGAAGAATATTTATTAACTATGCTATGCAAATCTTAAATGTGTATCGATCGATCGAAAGGTTAAACGTATAATTCTACTACTCTGTTGATCTATGAATCTACAGATGAAATCAACATTAATGAATAGTTGATTTCTGTTTGCTTCTTTAGAAAAGCAACATTTGGTCTCGTCTATTCTCCAAATGACTTCTTCTAAACATCAACTTCGATGATGTATGCCTCTTTTTTTTTTCTCTTTTATAATTGGTGAAAAAAGCTTGTTTTAATATTGTTTTAGATATAACTGAAATAATGTAATAGCTCGAGAAACATCATCATTATGAGAAATGAAGAGAGAAATACGCTTCTAGTTTGTGATATGCTTTCATTGTTTTAATTTCAAACGTTTGTTTGAATGATATTTTCTTACTGGCTTTGCAGCTGTGCTTTAACTGCTCTTAGATAATTACTTTAAATTTTTTTGTTATTCAGAATGACTTTATTCGTCAAATATTTTTATGCTTCTCAAAAAAGTATTTTACTTTTTTTTCTTTACTAATAAAGATGTTATACTATTTTTTAACAGAATCAGAAGTAGCTGATTGGAAACTACTTATATTTCTATGTGAATGAATGCATTTTATTTTTAATGAAAGACAATTCTATTCGCGTATAATACTGATAAGTCAATGACTTACTTTGTGACACTGTGGTCCACCATTAATTGTTGACGAAAAGATCTTGTTAAATCTTTCATTTACAATATTGCTTTATTATATATCGAAGATCATTGACATGAACAATTATATTTCAGTTAAGAAAAAGCCGGTTATTATTTAGTTTTATTTGTATGTCTTTCTTCGTTACTCATGAATAACAAATCTTCTTTTTAAACTACTACTATCAATTGATTGAACTTTTTTCATTCATTCGAAAAGATTAATTAATCATCACAGCATTTTCATTTATTTTGTTGCAGCTAACATGATTTTCTCGTTTTTTAATTTGTGAGAATTCATTTCTATGCCTGGTTGGGAAACAGTGCATAGATTGCAGCTGGACTTTTTAAATCATATATCAGTAAATCATGCATGTAAGGATGTGAATAAAAAGAAAGCAAACTCAAGTATGAATGCATTTCAATTTGAAATTAAAATTTAATTCTTAGTAACAATAAGAAAGTAATTCCAAAACTGGAATAGCCTTTTTTTCTCTTTATTATTTTTTTTCATATGAAAATATAGTTTAATGAAGTATGAACAATCCAAAATATTTATGTGAAACAAAAGCAGTGTATCACTAAATAATTTTAATTGTTTTCATTCGTTCTTTATTTCTCAAGAAGTTCGGAAATATTTATGTTCGTTTCATCATGAAAAATGCCATTTTTTTCATTTTTTAATTCTCTGAATGTTCAACATAAGAAGGTGCGGCTTAACTGAAAAGTATTTTGACCACTGTTGAAAGGACACCAACTTTCAATAGGTTCATACTTTGGACTTAAAATACCTACATGACCCTTCCACTTTACTCATCTTGAATAAATCTAAATAGACTTAATATAAATAAAAATAGTTGCGATTTGACTCGATATATTCTATCTATTCTTCCTGGTTCCCTTGGTAATGTATAATGATTGCTCAGTATACGAAGAGAGGAAGTATGCTGGTGTTTGAAAACGGATATGATTTTGTTGTATATGTATTGCAAAGAAGAAATTGAATCTATATGAATATATCTCCCTTTTTTATACGTTAATCGGTAGTGCAAGAATTGTTATGCGTATAAAATTGGAGAATCTTCGTTTAAAGATATTCTTGTCTGAACATTTCTCTTATAGACATCTTCTTTTCCATTTTGGAGTTATCCAAATACGTTGCAATAACAATTCATACAAGGCAAGAAACTGTTGAAAATACATACTTCTTGATTAATCAAAACTCGTACCAATATCCGGGAGAACGCCGGAGTTCCAGATCGATGAAATATATAACCATTAGTGTTGTATGAAAGCTTCATTTGTGAATGGAAAATTGAAAACAAAAAGTATATGACGAAGATTTTCTTCAAAAAGGATCACTAAATAATGGTCAACTGAAGTCTACTTTATCCAGATATTAATATTGTGTTAATGATGTACAGAAAAAATCTGTTCATTACTGAAAAATCATGCACAGTAGAAATAATTAAGTTTTTATTTTACTATATAGTTTAATGAGAAGTCTTATGCACTCATCATTCATAGACAATATGCTCAGTGCAATAATTAGAGATTGTTCCAATGAATGAATTTTTATTTATAAAATAGTAGATAGAAATTATGTCATTATAAACCATAGAAATCCATGCATATTACACAACTATGGCAGTTCTATTAAAGCATAGACGAAGATATCTTTGTGAACGATAAGTTCGATATTCGTATAAAATAATTCATCTCATCAGAATCAAGTGACCTCGATCGAACGACTTCTGTTGTTCTCACTCGTGGTCAATTTTGTCAATTGTTGGAAATAGAATGCATTATAGACACTAAACTCGCATTCAGAGTACGTGAAAGTAGATGAGAGCGTACTTGGTTAGTATCGGTGGAATAAAATTGACGTCGACAAAACGAATATTTTCCACGTGTATTCATAGTCAAGACATAATTTGATACAACTAGGATTGATTTGCTTCCTGATATACAATTACAACCGCCTGGATAATACTTTGATTACTCTACGTAGTAAAAGCATTGACGTCCTTTTAAAGAGATATTAGCACTATATTTAGCTGTTCAACTACTCTTTTTTTTCCTCACTTAAATTCAATTTTTGTTAATGTGTCATGACTTATTTACTGTTCTAGAATAAGTTATATGATAAAATTAGGGTAACAGAAGTGAGAGGAAGTTAGATATAAAACTCGGACAAAGACAGCACCAGCTATCATTTTATTTGTTTACAATATTTGTGTAATCAAAATTTTCATCTAACAAATATACCGATCTGCTTTGAATAAAGAAAGGAAATATATGAAACTATTTGTCATATATTTCACACGTGTCAGAAAATGTTTTCGTTTCATGTATAGATCAGTTAACATTAATTAGGAAACACCATGACAATATGACTATATGTAGATCAATACTAACTGATTTCATTTATGCTCAATAGACTTAGCTCACGTGAGAACTTAAGTTTCGTCTAAATTCAAGTTCTCGAAAAATCAAGATAATAGTCAGTGAAAATTTCATATTCCAGAGACAATATAAATTTCATGATCGGTGACTTTTTTTTTTTAATTCTTACTTTTTAAAGGGAAAAAAAGGAATCGAAAGTTCAATGACTCAAACAAACTCAAAAAATAGCGCTCTAATTATATAAATGTTTGTATATATAATGAAAGCAAAGCTTAATAAAAAAACGGACTCTCATAGGCACTGCAGTTTTATATGCTCTATCAAACAAAATCAATTATTGGCTACAATGAAACTCCTTCAAGAATTGTTGCAAATCCGATCGAAAATCTATAGAACGAAAAAGAGTGAAAAAGATTTCCTCTTTTTTTCGAAAGCAGCGTATTCTTCGAATAGTGAATGGCGGAAATCTTCAAAAATTTTTCGGAAAAAACAAGATGTTGAGTAAAAATTTTTGTCATTAGTGGGAGATCAGATCACAAACTCCCTTTTCCTGCATTTATCTTAATTTCGGTCATTCTGACGAAAAGTGACTTTTTATTGAGAGGGCATGGTTTTAAATTAATAGTTACTGTTCGTTTTGCTGTTAATATAATTTACGAAAAAGAAAAACAGATTGTTTAGTTTAAAATAATATTTACTGTTCATTGTACGAGGGTGTGGGGTGTGGGTGTGGGTGTGGGTGGGTGTGGGTGTGGAGTGTGGGTGTGGCTGTCGATTTAGGAAAAGAAGACCAATACCGACACCCACCCACACCCACACCCACACCCACACCCACACCCACATTCACACTCACATCCACACCCTCTTTCTTCTTATACTATGGTTTGTTTGAGTAACGAGAGCGACTGTTCGAGCGAATGAAAACGAAAACTGTACCCATGAAAAAAAATTTGGTATAAAAATGCGTTTCAACGCGTTTTTTTTCTAGTCTACATGTTTTCGCTAGACCTTAAACGCAGTTTTTAAAACGCATTGAAACGCATCCTTTTATTGGGAGAAACCGATATGTACCGACTAAAACGTGTTTCTAAAAATGCATTGGAATGCGTTTTTTTCCTCTGAAACGCGTTTAACCCTTTACCCCCCAGAAAAGTTTCAGAAAACGTAATAAATCACCCATTGGAAATAGAAGATAAATCTTCCCGACATCCCAATAGTAGGGGCAAACTGATCTGCGAAAAGCCTGTCATTCAGGCTACAATATGCACTAGAAACAGTTCCGTAAAAGCTTTTCAATTCCATGTTTTTTTGAATTCTGCAACATTTCTATAAATGGTCACTCCAGTGACCAATGGGGGGTAAAGGGTTAAATGGCATTTTATTATTACAAAAGAACGCATATGAGCGATCCTTCTGAATCATTCTGAAAGTATCCTATTTATAGATAATTTTCCAGTAATGATGGATATATTTATCTAATCTATGTACATATACTCCCTAAGAAGTTAGCAAGAATTT